CTTTTGTCCCCGGTGGTAATCCGCTCACACTAAATGCCCCAAACCATGGGATACTGTTTCAAAACAAGGCTGGATTATCTCCACTATTGAGAGTGATTAAATGTCGGTAAGCCCAGCAGCCTGGTCTTTTGTTCCGAGTACGGTCTTTTGTTACAAGGCCCAGTTCCCTTTGTCCGATTTCGGAGACCCCAGCCACGCGTATAAACACACGGTGCCCAAAACAGGAGTCCCCGGCGGCAAGTGGTTAAAAATGCATTCTGCGGTGTTACTGTCTGTGATTCTTTCTCTAATAGGCTTATATGCTGTTTTGAATTTTTTTTTTCCATTTAAAAAAATTGTTAAACATTTGTCTGTTGTTTTTATGAAGGGTAGCCAGTTTTTGCCTTTTCAAATAAAGTTCTCACTATTTGTATTTGTTTTGGATTATTCAGATCAAATTCCCATCACACCAAAGTTCCGGGACATGCAGCGAACACTTCACAACTCCAATGTAGGTGCAACAACAGTCACTCACTCTGTTGTGCGTGGCCGTGGAGGCTCCATTGACCTGAAGCTCCCTGTACCCGGACCATCCCCTCCCCCTCCTGTCACGCACTCCTACCCAACCTCTGACCTGCCCATGGAGGTGGATCCTACAGACCTCAACATGTCATCTTTGGACCTGGGTGACGCAGGAGGCGGTCTGACTGGAGGGGAGAGAACATGCCGGACCCAGTCAGTGCCCTTCGACATCCCCATGACAACCATTGACGGCTGCAGTGAGACCACCATGGACACGGGGAAGGATGCAGTCGGCTCCGCTTCGGGCGTGGTCCACCCAGATGGCGACCTAAACTGGCTAGACCTGGTCATCCCCAGCTCGGCCACAGGGCTGACGCCTGTCAGCGCCACACCGCCAACCTTCAACATGGACGGGGCGTTTGGAGCCACCCTGGGCAAAGACCCATTTCCATTGAATCTACTGGACCTCAATGACATCAGCACGCCCACGGACCTCCATCACCTGGAAGATGATGCATGGGATAACATCCCCATCACGGAGTGAGGGGGTTTGTAGATGGACCCACCCTGACCAGTTAATATCAATTCCTGTCACCGAGTAAGGCAATGCAGAGCTCAGTGGAATCAGCCCGAATGTCGTCTCTGATCCAGACAAGAGTGTCTTGGAAGACTCTTATCTTTGACAGAAGGTGGTGTGGCTATTGTAAAAGGTCCACAGTCCTTTGCGGAACAGTGGAAAGGTGAACAGTTCCCCGATGAGGGAGAACAAAAAGAACAGGTTCCAAGAATGTGCTTCCACGAGCGGGCGAGTAAAGTGTAGCATCAAAAGTTGTTCAGTGGTTTGTGAGTTTGGATTCAGTGTCTGTGGCAGAGTTCTTGTAAGCTGATGTGACCTCTCCAAACAAATATATTAAGACATTCCTAGAAGAACAGAGAGGTGGAACTTAAAATCAAATCGCTAATAGTGTTGACAGATGTGGCAGAAAACCTTGTACATGTACTAACTCAGATGAGAGTTTGATCCACACTGTTGAAGGACATACAGGATATTTGCTATCAGGAACAGTGATTGATGTCATTCAGAATTGGATGGACAGGTAGATCAGATGGGGATTTGTTCCGGGAAAAAAAGGTAGCAAACATTAACAGTGTTGTGGTTGAGATTGCCTCCTACCTGTTAAGGTTATAAAGCTGTGATCAGTGCATGGAAACTGACCTATCAGGTGACTGTACTGTATGTTCACGACTTTGCTGGATAGTAAAGAGGGTGGACCTCTCATTATTTCTGGGTTTGAGTTCTGTCGAGCAGTGCTTCAAGTTCGTTATTGTTTGAGATAAAGTACAGCCACTTCTGAGTCATTTCCCATCTCAAGCTGCCTTTAAAGAATTGTTTGGGATACTTGTACAATTTTCACAGCTGCAACTACAGTTTGAGTTAGTCCTAGAGAACTGGAATGCTGTACATAATGTATTATAAACGAAACAAAAAAAAATTAAATCCTTTTTTCCAAGCAAATTAATCATTGGAACCACTTTGGTTCTTACGCAAACTATGCAGCTCACGCGGCAAAAAACAAAGCCTCCCGGAAATTCTGCACTGAAATTTCATGTTGGCAGGACAACACCAAAGCATTCTGTACCATGACGACCTGGGCATCGCCTTCGGTGCCTAGTGTATATAGATGTATAAAAAAGACAAAAAGACATGATTCCTTTTTTATGAAGCACACAGAATTTGGTGCATATTTTTTTCCTCTGCAAGTGTATAAATTCTGCTACAATTAAAGTCCATGAAATCCAGCATGTCATGATTTGTGATGGATGGATTTTGATTTGCCGTTTCTTGTGATTGAGTAATATTTAAATGCCCGCATTATTTCCTACATTTTTTCCCTTTTTTTTTGTAAACGTGGCAATTTAACAAGGGTGCATTTATTTTCAGACAGTTTCTATTTAACCACATTGGGATAACTGTTGGTATTGTACAGATATAGTTTTTAAAAAGTAACAAATTGTAAAGATTAATACACAAAAAGAACTCCAGCAAGGAGTTCAGACTTGTAAATTGTTACGCTTACTGTTGGGTTTATTTTGCAAAAAGTTGCATTGCGTTATTTATATCGAACAAGTAGAAGATAACATTTTGTTACAGTTACAGTATGTGTTAAAGTATTTATGAAGATTTGTTTTGCACGTTACTACAGCGTTTTCAGCCAGTTGAATGCATTTGTCAGCTTGATGCCTGATCTTTAAGTGTTTGTCTCAAAGCTACAAAGCAGACATTACAATCTGATGTGTAGACAGCAAGGGCTCTGGCAGTGTGCAGCTGGTGTCATCCCTATCTTATGCATTACCATCAAGCTAGAAGGAGTCTCAAGATCCCACACACTTTGTCCTTTCTTCTGTTCCATTGTCTTTGCTGTCCTTACAAGCTGCGATACCCATGTGGTTTCAACTTCCAACTCTCATGGATGTGATGTTTCACTACATGTATATTGGTTCAGTGGCACCAAACCTTAACCAGTGGGGAACACTATTAGCTCACTTCTACGTGGGCATTGAACCAGTCCGGTTTTTCAACAGTGCATGCCCAAAATGCAGCACGTCTGAGGTTATTCGGGAACAACAGTACATGTGTGAGGTCTTCCCTATCGTCGTGACCATTGCTTTGTTCTTGAAGGACCTTGCCTGTGTGGCATGTACACAGTGAGCCACTGTGGAGGGCCACTAAAACCTCTGTAAAAGACAGCCGGTCCACTTGTTGGAAAAAAGGCCTCTTTTCTTAAGTCTGCTTTCACTGAACAACTCCCTCACTTAAAACATTTAAAATCCAAGTTTTTCAAGCCATCGACTGAGCTTATGGAAAGAAATCTCGACAACCAGTCATGATTGCATTTACCACATCTGCTAAAAGCCAACAAAACCCGACTGTGGAGACAATTTGTGTTGATTTTTCCGATCTTGGAAAGACTTTCTTTCAGCTGTCGGAATCTTTTGGTTTGTGGCAGAAATTGATTGTGTGTGGTTAAATTACTTTTTAGCTTAGTGCAAAGTGTACTTAATTTCCCCGATTGTGATTAGCCCAGCCTGAAGGAATTGAATGGACAATATCCAGTGAGTAGGGTATTGGATTGTGGGAATGGCTGTGTGAAACTTGTTAGCATTTGTCAGAAAAATGTCAAATACCGAACCTTGAAACCTAAAATAGTAATTCTTTGTAACACAATGCTCTAAAAACGTGGATAATTTTTTTATTTTTATATTTGCAGGGCCACATTGCTATAAATTTTACAGAAAGAATTGTATAGAACAAACTATTGAATCGTAAATGAATCCAATTTCTGAAGAAGTATGTAATGAATTTTTCTTTGAATGTCTGACTGTACAGTAAATACTTGAAGTATGGGTGGGGTTTACGGTATAAAGTTACACCTTTGCAGCAGTGTATATGAATCAAAACTGTGATTTTTGAAAAATATACTCCTTTAAGCTTCTAACAAGATGCAAATAACAAATAAAGATGCAGATAAACACCATTATAAAAAATTGTATAAACTGGTTCATACTCAGTGGTGGTACGGTACAACTTACTTCTGAAATTGAATGTGTTTGGATGGAGATGCTTGAATTTATTGGCAGAGAACCATCTAATCTGGTACTAATTTTGTCTCATTGGATTCAGTTGGTTCATTAAAACATTTTCATATAATACATGCACTTGATAAACAATTTCCAGGTATTTCTGTAGGCCCATTTTGAAAGACCAACATTTCCCATACAGAGTTTCTGTCTCCCATTTGGCTTCCGGTTGTAAGGGATCAACAAAAATTCTGAATGGATGAGCAACTATCCATGTTTAAAAATAGGTTGGTTTTCAAGGCGTCTACCAGAACACTACATTTTGAAACATGTTCTCAACATAGAGTGACTCTCAATGGGAAAAATTACGGTCTGTGAGCACTGCAGATGACGCTGTTGTTTGCAGTGTAGAGATTCACGGTTCACTAAGTCCTGAGCCTGCCATGGTCTTGGGCAGTGTACCATTTGCAAGTGAAATCCTTAAGTTGTGTGTTTTGAAGCTGGAGTTAAACTGTGTACCAAATGTGTTGCCTGACTCTGTGAATGAATTCGAAACCACATTTTTCAAATCACACTAGGTATTTGTAATAGTGTTTGCTCCGATTTCATTAATTGTCTTCCTCGTCAACAATTTCTTCTCTTGTGCAGAATCTTGCATAGGTCACTGTTTACGTTATCCCACCTCAGGATCTGCTGCGTTTTTCTCAAGCAATTCATTTGAAGATTTAGGTGAATTTCCAAAGAATACAAAGTCCGCTCTCTTTGTTTTTCCCCTACCTTTCGTTCAGTTAGGCTGCATTGCCAATGCCCTCACATTTCTCCCAGGGCTGTCATTTCTCAGGATTTCTTCAGATTTCAAGAACTGTGTCCCAAAAGTGGATTTTTAGAGGTTGAATCATTCAGGTTTTGCTCCCTTTTTGTACTTCTTACCAAACCACATGTTCACGATTCACATGGTCAAGGTGTTTTAGCTATGTAGAGCCTCTAAATCACAGCCTGTTGTGGTCAGCATTGTTAAACACCCCTCTGGTGAATGTATTGTGGATTTTCATCCTTCCAACCTCACCTGATCTTCATCATGCATCCCTGCTGTCTCTTGTCACCTATGGACTCTGTATCTCGTATGCAAATTAGAAAGCATTCCATAAGCACCGCCCACCTCATCTGCTTCGCTGTTGCATTGCTTTAAAAAAATAAAAAATCTATAAAGATACTGTTTTGCACCACATAGCTGAGTATTATATTTATATATTTTAAACAGTGCGTTGAATTTTTTTCTGGTAATTTAAGTTATTTGTGTTGGTATTTCATGATAACGCACCAAGTGCTGAATATTTTGTAGCATTGCTATATGTGCGGCCATTGTTGTAGCAAACTAATTACTCGGGACTGGCTTTACAGAGCTGCTCAGTGGAAACCTTTTTCAGCTTTACTGGTCACCAAACAAAATGTATGCTAAGTGACTTTGCTGTTACTGAATTGCCTAGCTTTCTCTTTTTGGCCTACCTCTGGCCTTATGGCATGGTTACTCAGACAGTAATTTCTACAATATCATACACCAAGCATTATACAGAGTTACTCAGCTTTCAGTGCTCACCTTTTTTTGCTTCGCAGCTCTGTAATCTTCGTCCCCAGCTGTACATGTAACATCTCATATCATGAATATATTACATGACACTGACAGTTATAATAAATATACTTGCTGTGAATCCTCTAGATCCTTTCTCAGGCTTCCTGTTTCATTCCCCCTCTCCCTCTTTTCTGCCATTTTCCTCCGCACTTCACAGATTGTCTAGAGCCTAATCATCTTGCTATATATTGACCGCTGCAATGGGTTCCGCTGTAAGACAAACCTTTGGAGGTACTACACGGGGTTTATTCTTCTGATCTGGGCTTCATATGCAGAATTCAATATTAAGAGCTGGGCTGTATTAATACATTGCTAAATAAACAGTAACTCGAGTACTTCCTCGATGAAATTTGTCACGTCGGTGTTTAAATTGTCACTTTTTTAAATGTCTGATTTTTTTTTTGTGCTGGCTTAGAATAGCACTGGAAAAACAAAGTTTGTTTTATTTTTTTTACCGCGACTTTGTCACTGACTTTATCCCTTAATCCCTTTGTCTGGAAATCAGACTAACAGTGGCCCCCCCCCTTCCTTCCTCTCCATGCTTGGATCGTTGCCGTGTATTTTGCACAGTGCACATGCGTGTAAGCCCTAAATTGGCAGGATAAATTGATACCCTGGCGATCAGTCACAGTGCAATGAAGATTTCTTTTATTTTTTCTTTCTTTTTCAAAATACCTTCCGTTGTTCTGCAATCTGTTCATCGTGCGTTTTGCAATACGTTGAAAATGATGCTTCCGATGACAAAGGCGCATTATGTTGTTAGCATGTGAGATCGAGCTTGCATCTGTATGTCCTTGACATGTACATCCTGAGAACGAGGTTGCAGAGACGCACTCCACGTGTTTTTGCGAGTCTACACGCTTGTGGCGCGAAGGGCTTTGCGTTGGCGGCAGAGGGACGCGTCTCCGCTCTCTTCCACTCTGCGTATCACACGGAGGTGATTTTGCTCACAATCAAGACTAAGCCTACTTATAGGCCTACGACGAACACGAATGAGTCACCTATATCCCACGAAAAGTTAACCAGAGGTTAGCTGGAGTTGGACGACGTCTTCATTTACACCATTGCGACTTATTACATCGAGGTCATTCATCCTGCCATACTGAACTTTTTTAAACACTTTTTCCACACTTTACCTGACGGAAGTATCTGGAATTTCGTTCACATATTACCTCTGTCCCGAAATAGGCCTATGTATAAAATTCTTGGTTTAGGATAATTAATGTCCTTTGGTGACATGTTGGTGGAAAATATTCCTCAGGTCCAACCTTCCGGTATACTTGTGTACATCCCGAACGAACCTCCACTGCAAAGACTTACAACTTTTTTACTAGTTTCCTGCCGTATCGCTCAAAAGAACAGTTGTTATCTTTCTATTTAGGGAACCAGACTGATAGTTGCTGCGCATTTTGTTGTGCGCGCATCATGTTAATTAGGATAAATTGATACCCTGAACGTCGGTGATAGTAGTGTATTGCTTACATTGTAAGGAAGGCTGCCTGTTTGACCTTGAGGTTTGTTTTGCTACAGACGGGACTTATTGGACCCAAATGGGGAAATCTTTTCATATAGCATGACAATTTGTAGTTTGGGCGATTAAACTTAGAATTGAAATGATATTTTACAACAACTGGCCGGAACTTTTACTTAATTTTTGTTCCATTATTGGCCACACAGCCGCAGACGTGAGGGGTGTATTATCACTTTGAACGGTGACAGAAATCCTTTAGCTGAAGAAATATATGAACGTGTAGTTTATTTTTTCTTCAGGTAGAGCTTCAAGACTCACAAACATTTGAAGGTCCCCTGGTCGTGCTGATATGCAGAAAGTAACCGAACAGAAATCTACTGCAGAGTCTTGGAGTTTGAAGTACAAATGTGCATGTCCAACAGAGGGCAGCCTTTGACATTATCTGGCCCAAAAGTCAGTCAGCCTCAGGAATGCCTAATTTGTACTTTGCCATCTCATGTTTTGACTTGTTTGAAGGTAAGCTAGTTTAGGGTGAAACTCATAACTGTTCTCATCAAATTGTTTAATACCCCGGCAACAGCAGTGCAATCAACAGTGGTTTGCTAGTATGGTGCATGCTGTGGCAGCGGGGCCAGGGAGACCACCGGGGGTAATAGTACCCCTCTTTTGAGGGGTCCTTTAATGACCCCCCCCCACTGTGACATTGTTCCACCACCGTTGGGTGCATGTTTGTAGTGATGCATTCCTGGTCTCAGTTCTGTTCTCCAAATTCAATACCCAGATTGACATGCAGACAAAGTTTCAGCTTGATTTTCTTGGGGAGAGGCAAAGATATTTAAGGTATCCTTCAATGAAAGTAAGATACAAGTCTTATGGACTGAATTTACTACATTTACTTTTATTGAAAGGTTTCTCGGCAGTCTTGTTTTTGCCACCTAGACTAACACAGCTACTAAGCAGAAATAATCTGTGCTAAACAGGGAACTAGGCCAAATGAAAAAATATCTCTCTTTTTCTTTTCTTTTCTTTTCTTTTGTTTTAGAGGGGAGGTTACATTAGCAAATTTTGATCTCTCATTTCTTTCCAATCCAAGTTCACATGCAAATTTTAAGCCTATTACATGGGGGTAAAAGCTCCTTTACTTTAGACACAAAGAAATATTGGCAAAAGGATCCAGAAAGTCCATCTGCCATCTTGGAACATACTCATTGAATTTGTAATAGAAAAGGACTGCATACTCTAAAAAAAAATTCAAACAAGAAACCTTTTTACTTGAACATAGGCCTATGAGCGCTAGGCAGTGGCAAACATGCATGATATGCCATTTTGAGCGGGTAAACCCGTTTTTGTGGAGTAAATCTTTCCTGTGTGCTCTATAAAATCTTCAAATCTTAACTAATACCATCTGAAAGTGTGTAATGTAAACTGATTGTGTCTGCATCGACTCTAGATTATGTTTTATATATTAATGGGGGATCCTTTTAACGTGCAGTGCACAAGCATTTGAAAAACTTTAATTTGAGCTCAGCTTCAGAAAGACAGCTCCCCAGCACTTAACACACACCAACATACAACAGGCTATTTTTAAGACTGCCCTCTAGTGTTCCATATTAGCATTACCTCAACCAGCAAAAGCTGCTTTGACTGGGCAATTCTGTTTGGGGGTAAACAGCCAGGACTGTGCTTGTGTAATCCCCGAGAGTTACTGTCAAATGAAATTGTGCAATTGGCAAACTGCTGTCATGTCTCGAGGAAACCCACACCTGCAGTAGATTATGTCCCTGATGAATTTGCTGGGCACACAGCCCTGACTTCTGAATGGTAGAACTCTAACAGCAATGAAGGTGTCCAATTTAAAATGATTACGATAGTCACCAGTCTGGGTAACACTGACAAAAACTCAGTGCCCAAATTTATTTTAGATTGCAATATTTATTTGCATAACAGTGCTCATATTGACACAGCCAGCAAAAAAATTATCAGTGAACATTATTACAATTGTGACTTTTGATTGTTAGAGCTGCAGATCTCGGTGCAGACTCAGTCTATAAAAACCTAAATGTAAGGTGGTACAGGTGAATTCAAACTTGAATACCAAAGCTGTGTAGCAATATCAATCTAGAGTGGGGTTGAACCCAGTGCCTATGCCCTTCCTTTTACAAGGAGATACTTTCCATCTAGTCCCCTTTTTTGTGTTATCTACCTGTTATCACTCACAGCAAAAGCTTGCTATGTTGGCAAGACTTGTTTTTTCCCCAAGTGTCCGTAACAACAAGAACTTACTTGTCAAGAATTTTTCAGTGCTTTCCAAGAGTTTGTGAAAAAAAGAAGAGCTTATGAAAAAAACACACTGGTACTTTGATTGGATTTGAACCAGTGACCTCCTGCTTACTATTGCAGACTGTCTTACCAGTCAAACACTTGAGGTCAAAGCGTTGGTTTGAATCAGTCTGGCAGTGGGCACCACAGTTAACAACTCCATTGTGTCAGTATCTTTTTATCATTATGACAAGTTTCTGTCACCATGATCAGAACCCAACATATCAACTATTTTAGTATGATTACCTTGTCTCCTGGCACTGTGAGTGTACAAGTAAATGCATCTTGTCAAAACCTTGTCCGTATGACAAACAGATGTTCTTGTATTCTACTGAAGAATGGGCAGTTACTGTCACCAGAACCCATGATTTTGTATGTTTTCAGTGTAAATGTTATAACTTTAAAGAGTGAAATTGTCACAAATATTGTGCCCCCTCATCTTTTCAGGTTCACTTCCACTTAAGCCCCTCCCCTTGTGAATGTTGGGCACCCTGTTATTGTTGGTACTGTGTTCTACCACTGTGTTGAATTATTTGTATGTACATGTAGAAATACATTGTATTAGTGTTACAATGTACAGCTTGACATAGGTACCTGTGAAACGAATAAATATTTGCACAAGGGCTCAGATTTATGCAGACTTGTATATGATATGAGTCCTTTTGCAGATGTGCATGCTGCATGCATTAATGCATATTTCACCCCCGCTGATAATATAAGATGTCATTTCTAAGCTTTATTCACTGCCTCTTAATACACTTAGTGAATTTGGAAAAGTGACTCTACTAAAGGACTCTGAACAATTTACCTTGCAAGATACTACAAATTTAATTGATTTTTGGAAAAAAGCAGGGAGTTGCTGATGCTAATGCTCGTCTTTCAAGACACTCGGGTCTGAAAAATAATATTCTTGAAGAAGTAGAGGGGTATTGCATTACAGGACTTTTTTTCTAAATAGGATTAACAAACTAAAGAAAGAACAATTCTCTGAGAAATCTAGAAGTCACTTTCACTTTTTGAGGTCGGATAACACTATTACGGAATAGCGTTTTGTAAATTCGATGATTTCATGTCATAAAAAAATTGTTTGAGCCTTAATGTGTGAAGCTAATTAGTTTAGTTGACAGTTATTATTTCAATTTCTTAAAACTCTCAAGTTCAAAACAGAAGTAAGATTGAGGTGGTGTAACAGTAAATGAGTGAATATTTAATCAAATCAGTCACAGTTTTATTTCAAATTTTCATTTTAATGATTCATTGTAATGAAAAAGCAGGGAATTGCACAGTTTAAAACTCAGATGGAAAAAAAAAGCTGTGCAGTAGATGAGACTCCCAAACTTTGACTCCATCTGTTAGAAAATCAAGTGAAAAGTTCCAATAGAATGTTTTCAAAGTAATTTGGATTTCTTCCTGGAATATTTTGCCTGGGAGGGATGTCTTCATGAGCTGCTCTATCAGGCTAGAGCTTGTGAGGCCAGTTTTCATCCAAACTCCAATTCTCTTCGATTTTCAGTTTGTAAAGCAAAACATGGAACAAATTCTGTTACTGAAAAGTTGTTTGGGCCACGGTGGCAAATAACCACCTTCTTCCTGATGACTCTTTCCGAATCACTTCATAACTTGGCAACTCTATGCAGCTTATTCACTTCTCATTTCTGAGAAGAGAGAAAGAGGCATTTTGCCAGGTAAAGGTTCAAAGCTCATATTTGGGGAATCGTAGCCTTTGCGGTTTGGAGTGTGTGTGGTTTATGTAAGGAAAATTTTATGAATATTTCCTGTCTATCCAGTGAAAACAGCCTGAATCATTAGGGGATGTGATCAAGTCTGGTAAAAATTACATCTATTCCCCTGCATATTTCTGTAAGAAATGGCCCTTGGAATGTATTTCTTCCAGTAAATAATAAATAATAAACTACACCTGATAAATCTCTTACAATTTAAACATTCTACAGGAAATATGAAAAATGTTGATGTCAGTAGCAATACCTTTTTTTGGGGGGGTCAATATTTGCTCCCATCTGATCAATAAAAACTAGATACAACCAGGATTTATATCAAGTTACTTATTACTGTCCCAGGAAACCTTTCATCTTTCTGCCATTGAATTTTTCAATAAATCACTCCCTTGTCAGAGCCATGTCGCGGCTAACAATATAATTTTTCCTGCGTCAATTCCCTGAGTAAATCATATCTTGGCAAAGTTGTTCGTGTCTCCAGCCACCAGGGAGCCATGGTACCCCGTCATCCAGGCATTTTTCTGGCTTCATTTAATTTCAGTCAGTTTTCCCCGCTTTCCTGTGGGAGTCCCTGATGGTGACGGGAAGAAAGTAAAAATCCGTCGGCAAGGATTCGACATTGTCTGCATCCAGTTTGTTGAGCCCTTGGCAATTGATCACAACAACAGGGAATCAATTTTCATGGGGACTACTGAGTTGTATGGTGTGTGCGTCTGTTGTTGAACGGTTGGAGTTGAGGTGAACCTCCTGATCAAAAATGTCGTCTCGCAATGAACGTTCATCCACGTGTGGCTGCAGATTGCCGACAGGGACAGTTCTGTGACAAATGGACATTTCCAATACCTCTACAAAAAAATCATGCTTTTCGTAACATGAAGATTTCTTGACGACAGCTCAGGTGATACTTGAATTAGCCTGATTGAGAAGTGGCAGCTAACGTTTAAAATGCAGTGCCAAGATTCTTCCTAAGATAAATACTTATCTATGCAATTAATGGTGTAACTTCTCTAAATGAGACTTGGTAAATGGCATGTTGAACGTGAGTGTTGATTTTCCAAAGAAGTTCATTTATATCTTGGACAGAATCCCATTTTTTGTAGTCCAGCATATCAGCAATTCACGACAGTTACAGTTAGTTGTGTCTGCTTAACACTAAAAACTTTTCTTTAGATCAAGTTTATTTTTCATGTATTGGCACTAAATTACAAGGATTTTTCAAAATTCCCCTTGTCATAGATACAAATGTCAATACTACAGCAACTTTGTCACATGCCAGTGACAGGGCCATGAGTACATGCATCTATCAGCTTGGTCTAGTCCCCCTTTGCTTCAACTTGACTCATTCCTAACACAAAGAAAACCATAGAATAGTTGATAATTCAAGTTCCAGTGAAAAGAAGGGTCAATTTATATACATGATTCATTCTAGAAAGCGGGATCACAACTTCCACACTTCATCAAAAGAAATTTACCAACCGTGAAGTCTTTATTTCTGTAATCATTTATTCTTTAGCATCTTGTTACCATACAAAACAGTAGCATTTTACCAGAGTACACCTCCAACCATGAACAACATATCTACCAAATACAGCACTTTTTTTTTTCAATTTTGATTTGCTGCAAAGCACATCATTTCATCTCAAGAAGAGACAAGCACCTCAACCTTTTTTTATCAAAAATAATGTCAAGATGCTGTCATTGTTAAATTTGTTTTGGTATGGATATCTTACACAGGAAATGCGTCACCCTGTTATTTTGTTGATTGAAAATAATCATTACAGTAGCTACATATTAACTGCCACTAAACAGTACAAACTGCACTAACTGACACTTAACGGCATCCTTCAAAACATATGCAACACAAAAGAGCATCAAGAAACACACAGTACAAATGTATACATGCACTTTGCGTTATACTAATTGCACAGTAGTGGATCAAAAGAGTTGAAACAGGCCATGTAGGTCTCACTTTTAGTCTGGGCATGGCATCCAATGGCATGGCCATGGAGTAAACGCACTGATGTTGTATTCACAGTACTTTTCTTAATTTTGCAGGCCTGAAGTAAATGCTTCCACGCGAGTTCAAGACAGTGGCCAAAAAAGACTTGGCCTTCACTGTGGCCATTGTTTCACAGGCCATGTGCAAATGAAAGGTATGTGACACATTTTTTTTTTTTGGTACTGAGGTAGTACTTATTTCATATCATCTAGCTCAAATGTTATGACAGGTGAAATTGCCATCCAGATTGGAATTCCAAGCCACCAGTCACATTTGTAGCTGCCTTATTCATGCCAAACCATCGACTGTCATTATTTTCACAAGTCACAGCATTGACCTCAGATGTACATGTGTTTCAGGGTACAAATTGGCCACGTGAGATCCCACAGTTTACCGGCCTGCAATAGTGACTTCTGTTTGAACAAGCCAAAAGTCATCTCCAAAAAAAAAGACCACAGCTACATTTCACTAGAACCACAGGTACACATTACTCAAACTTTAATTTCGTTTTAAAAAAGGCTTTCAGACAGACACTTTCCACACTCTTAATTAAACAGCACATGGCAATGTGCAGAACACCACATGTCTCAAAAATATTTCTCCAAAAGCAAATAGATGAACATGTGTCTGTGCATGTAACACAGATACGAAGGATCCACTGTTTTTGATTCTTAATAATGCATTTTACAGCCAACTTTTTTGGTTACGTAAGTGAAAGTTTCAATTGTGCATGTTAATTGGCAGAGGAGAAAGGACTTATAATGCATTGGATCTGGAGACATGCATGTACATGTACAGGTACTGGCTGCTCTAAGCACTACTGTGTGTACTTGTAAGTACAGGATTCACCACACAGCATTCCAAACCAGACAGGATCCCATGTGACAGAAGGTGAAAGGCACTGAGATCCAATCAAATGTTTTTCATGACAAACAGTGTATATTAATTTCATTAGTGTGAATTGTTCACAAAAAAGCTAAATTTAAAAAAAAAAATCTTCACCGCTTCTCCATCTTGCCTTGCGCGGAGCAAAATGTTCACTTCAAGATGTCACTAGTCATATAGCCATTGTGCTTGATTTTACTAGCTTCATCATGATTACCTTTGAACCCGTTTTATTCATTGATATGTCAGATTTTCATTTGGCAAAATACAAATGCAAAGGAGAAACATGATTCCTCCCTGAAATTCAAAGTTTCAGAACAGTCAAGTACTTCCAATGCTGTATCCCCATCAAACAGAACAAAGGCTTGCCAAATGCTAAAAAGATTTCCAATTAAAAAGATGTTTAAAAACGAAAAACATTTTAGTGCAGATGGCTCTAATTACTGAGTCTAGCCCACACATCATCCAAACCTCAAATAAATGAGACAACCTCTTCGGTCTAATCCGATCAGAGCAGCAGACAAATTAACTTATAATTGTTGTAAAGCAGGCCATTGGGTTGTTCCTGCTTGACCTTAGATATCTTCTTGACAGTAATTCAAGGTCTAGTCGGTCAAATCTCACCAGTGGAAGGTTTAGCGGTCACATAGATTGAATACTTGTCAGCTCAGCAGACATACCGATAAAATACATTTGCAGAGGTACATGTACTGCCTATACAGTACTCAGATAAGTGAAATTTCATCCTTTTTTTCCCCCATAACCTCCATCATTAACTCGCTGTACTGTTTTGAAACTACCCAACAATAGTTCTCTGCACTTCTCAAATTTTCATAGTTCAAGCAGGAACACTAAGCAATTTGGATGGCAGTACATGATTAATTAATAAAATGCATGTATGTCTTACTTGTCTATGTCTTACGGGGCACGGCCATCTTTGAATTTTAACCTTTCCATTATGCTGCAATCAAAAATGATTGGCTGACTCAAAACAACGAAATAAGGTTTCCCGACAATCGCTGCCATTGGGAATTTACATTTAATTTGAAAAATGTTAACAAAATTTTGCCATATCGTTTAAACATGTAAACATCCCGCCCCTACCACGGTGTCATTGAAAACTTTAAATGCAACAAATTGTATACAATGCAAATAGTTAACACAAATTTCCGGTTGATGAATTCATGGTTTTCCTTTGATATGACCGAGCAGTGAAGTGTTCAGAAAATCAGATTACATTTTACAGGCATCATTTACAATAAAACTGAATGCCAGATTGCATTAATTAAAACGTCAAACGTTTGGGAAAATCTGTAATTGGATTTGGATATTTGTTCATGTAAATGTTATAACATCCCCCCTTACAGTCCATCATAAGACTTTGTTGAGTGACACAATTTTTCAGGTCACTTTCCCAGGGACGGGACACTTACCAGTACTTAACAGAATATTATTCAAATGAACGAAAGCAATTTCGCTCTGAATGTCAAGTTTCTAAAAAAAAAAAGAAAAGACCTCTCCTCGTGAATGTATCCATGCAATGCCTTTACACTATTCATCACCGCCAGTACGCATGTTATTGAGAAGTGCAAGTAGTCAGCAGTGACATCATCTATGATCAACACCTATATTTGTGTATGCTTACTTGCCACAGGACTCTGTAGTTTCAGTGCTTGGTGCACATGTGCCTCTGCTTCCTTTCCCAATGTCTCTACCTACCAAAGGCCTTCTGTCCAGACTGCATTAGGAGTAGTATTGCATTGTGCGTTGTCATTTTGAACTGCCAATAGCCAATGGGGTAGGGTAAGCCAACCCTGACTAACACACAGCTCCACCTTAACTACACTGTATACAGAATTGTCAACATCAAATGCCTCCAAATTCTCACTCCAAAAGGGTGGATTCTGTCAAGCTTGGATATTGTTTCCTCTCTCGACAGAATTGTCTGAGCAGGTCCAACAGAAAAGTCCTCCTTGCTTTGAATGCAATGACCGGCCCCTCACAAAAGAATGGCTACTTGCCTGTCCATGACATGAGTTCTGATGCACTTCAAACAAGGGACCAGTTACCGGTACCAAAAAAAGGGAAATTTGTGACAGACTTTGTCATCACCAGTCCAACAATGAAGTACAAATTTTATACTTACATGTAAAGAATGCAAACATAATTTTTAGTTTTCACTTAAAATAAACCTAAGTTGTCATCTTTTTTCTACTTGACTGAGAACACGGAATTTCTTTAAAGGTTGGTTATGTTTCGGTTTTGGGCCTTCCATTCAATAATACAAAAGATATTTCGTACAAAACGACAGTAAAGAACATGTACATATACTTCTGATTTACAAGCAATGGCCCACAAACTAGTATGACATTACACAATATCATTCTGCAATGCACATGTGCATTACATAGACAGGAACACTTGCTACATGCACTGCCAGTAAGGTGTAGATTAACAAAGTTGGTGTATAAAGTGAACACATTTGCATTTAAAGGATTTGATAGTCCTGATGCAACATTTCTAAGTTTGCATTATTTGTACCACACAATTTCAGGCTATCCTGAGTTCGAAATTTTAATGATTACAAGCGCAGCATACCGGTACATGTAAATTACGGGCCCATCATCCACAAAACACTTTTGCATCATCCAAGCAAGTTTTCACAAATGTTTGTTTTGGAAATGTGAGATCCCCAAAACTTTGGCAAAGATGCTTCTTTAAATAATAATGAATGACCCCCAAAATACCAGAAACCATGCAAACTGCTGTTTCCAACCGAAGTTGTTTTGTGCTCAAAATCTGAGTTACATGTACTGTACATGTAGTAATCTTTCTCAGAAGTCAGTTGGCTACTTTAATACTTTGTAACATTAAACCATAGCTCCATGAATAAAGTGACGATTTACTGGCTATTTCTGCATACAGGTGGCCCATGACCCATCGTCTTTAACAAACCCAGATTTCCAAACTAATCATCCATGATAGAGCTGTCATTCATGGCATATTTCTAAAGCCTGCTTACTGTGTCCAACATCAATCATTAAACCCCACTGCTTCAAAGCAGTTAACAAAAAGGACACTTTTCCTGTGATTCAAAAATTAAACAGAATAACAGCAACAGGGAATAAATCACTCTGGTACACTGAACAATTTTACAGAGGGAATCATTCCACACAAATACAAATAAAAACAGCAGTAAATGTACGGGTTCCACTGAGTTTCCGCATGTAGAAAAAACACAACCAAAACAGAGCACTAGTCAATCAAACCAGATGCTCGGTTAATGGATACATCAAATTACAAGTACAGTCAATCGGATTCCAAAATAGGAAGTACAGTACATGTACACGTACATGTACATACTGGTATATTGTACATATAACCTATTGTGTTCCAAACAACGACGTACAAAAAATGCAGGCGTATCACTTATTTGTTTTGTTGAAACTACATGTACATGTACAAGTCATGCTTCATTTCGATTTCAATTCCTGTCTAGGAAATCCTGTTAGACTTTTAATAGTAGTTCACTTGGTGTAGATACTGCAGTACATATACTAAACACAGAAATATGTACCGTACTGTACAGCAGTTCAAAAACTTCACTGCTATAAATTAATATCCTTTTATTTTACAAGTGGTTTACGTAACGAGATGAAGGTTTTTATGTTGCCCTGAACACATGTGAACAAAACCAACAATTTGATTTTATGGAGTTCGAAACCCACAACCATTTGCATATTAGTGCAGATATCTGAGTCATCAAGGGACCTGCACAAGCAAGTGGAAAGTACTGGGTTCAGATCTTAGGTCCCTTTCATTAGACAAACAGTGCTTTAAATGTTCACAAAACTTCACAAAACTCCATCTGAAAAGTGTTTATCTGTACGCAATGCATGGTGCTAAACCTTAGTAATGCCTGCTTGGTTTCAAACCATTATTCCTTCACTGTCATCGTAGCCATCGTCTATATTCTCTGTCCTTTGGTTTTCCTGTTGTTTCCTGGCCTGTCGTTCATTTTCATACTCGACAAAGTCATCAAAGAGGCTTGGCCATGCCTCATTGTCATCATAGTTGCTCAGGTCGTCACCAATGACCTCAGTGAAGTTCAGGAACATCTGCCAGGTGTCACGTGAGATGCCACGGACCTGTTGATCCAGGAGGAAGTCACACCAGCGATCCAGTATCTTAACCTGCCGCTGGGAGAAGACTAGCTTCCAGAGAGGCACAGCCATGTCGCAGGGCAGAGAACGCTGCCCGCCCTCCACGTCCAACCCAAAATTGAAGGTGAAGCGATACAGGTCCTTGAAGGTAGTTTCCTTTTTCACCTCTTTCTTGAGATCCGGGAACTTGTTCATGATGCCCTTGATAGAATCTGCTCGGAGTGCACGGCAGCCATTCACAAACTCCACCCTGGTGAAGCGGCACATTGCTGAGGCCTGGAACTTCCAGGCCAGAACCAGGACGATGAACTCTGCTGGATTGACCTGCAGATCCTGGCAGAATCTCTCCATGCCATCAGCAAGAATAGCATCCTCAGCACTGTCCCGATAACGCTCAAAAAGCCGATTCACTTTGCTCTCTGAGAAGTCCGACTTGGACTGTCGAGGCACACCATCCAGTCCATTGCGGGTGGCCATTCCCTTTGACCTCTCTGAAGATCGGTGCGATCCATTGGAGATGCGGAACTGCTGCTCCATGGACAGGTGGTGAGTTGTTGGTGCAGCAGCGGTGGTGGTGGTTGTAGTTGCGATGACGGGTTCGCGTTTTGGCACAAGGGGTGGGGCACTTTGGGTGTCAGGCAAGGAGGTCCGGGCCGTCAAGGTGGCACTCTTGTCTGGGAATGGCAGGCCTGATTTGGTCTTGCCATGACTGTCCGAGCCACTGGTCTGGGTGCAGCTGGAGAAGCACTTTCCCATTGAGGCTCCTTGGTGTCCTTTGCAGCTCTGGTGTCAATGGTGGCAGAAGTGAACTGCTCACATCATCCCAGTGTCGTCTCAAAACAGGAAAAGCCTCGATGGCATTATGCTCAGGGTCAGGATTCTCGTCTCAGACACACTGACACGCCTTGGGAAAGATCCTTTATTTCAACTGTGAAACTGGAAGAAAAAGAGACAATGCCATGTACAATGTTAATTTAGTTGCGGTACTCTCTAAGTGTTCTAAATACATGTACTTATGCAGTTTAACCTTAGTACTAGAGCAACGCCAAGATTTAACCACTTGCTGCCGGGGGACCCGTTTTTGAGCACATAGGCTTTATACAGCCAGTGAGCCCAAATCCGGGACACAAGAGCTGGGCCTTGTAAGAAAAGACCGTGCTCGGCACAACAGACTAAGCTGCTGGGCATTACCAACATTTTTTCACTCTCAATAAGTGGAGATAATCCAGCCTTGGTTTAAAACAGTCTACCACAGTTTTGGGCATTTAGTGCGAGCAGATTACCACCAGGGACAAAAGTGCTCCACCACCGCAGCGATGAGCCACACAGCACTACTGCATGCTAACCTGGCCCTTATTGAAAAGAGATCAGCAGCGCACTGTGTCAGGTTCGTGAACAAAAGAAAGTTATATAACACCGCACAATCTGGGCTCTTTTTACAAGGCTGCAAGCATGGCTGAAATACTCAGGCATCACTAGATTTTGTCTGACAGGCAACAATGGCCACCAGATAGTAATTCATGTGGGTGTAAACGTCCATTAATTAAAATGATGAATTTTTGAAGATTTTTAAAAACTGAAAATCTTAAAATTCGCACGTATGCATTTTTCCAACCACCCGGCAGCATGTGGTTAAAGACAGCATACATGTAGATGTGTATTCTTTATGCATGCACAGGAAAGGCAATATTAGATGTTCAATACAATTAAACACAATTTAACAATAGCCACATGTATACACAAAAATACAATACGTTAGCTAATGTCAGTGAAAAAAAAAAAAATTTGGATGAGTCGATGATAAATACGCAATACTGATGACGTACATGTACATGGACCCATCCCTGGAGCACGCATGCCTAGCAACACTCCAGGAATATCATGTCCTTAGTGCAAGCTTTTCTAAAGGTGACAATATGCATTTACACCGGTACATGTGCATAAAATGCAACTCATCCTCATTTATCATCCCAAATGCATTCTAGCACATGTGGAAGTGATCTCAAGTTCCCAACAAGCTCTAGGTTTCATTTTGCAACAGACAAGGGCTCAGCTTACTGGCAGCACCATACAGTTTTTGCTCTTTGATATGGGGTTACGAGCTACACATGTAACACTAAATACATGATGTACTATAGATTAGTTCCTTACCACAAACACTTCTAGTATTTCTTAAGCAGAACAGAGTTACAAAAGCAGTGTGGTCTGGCCCCCTTGTTAAATATCTATCAGTATGAGACCAGATTCAGTGACAAATTACTGAGTTTAATGTTAGTACATGTACATTATTGTTTGATGTATGTTTTCAGCACAAATACTTGTACCAAAAACTAAATGATTGGTGGTGTTGTCCCCCCAAATTTTACACATGAACAAATTTGTAGTGTTCCTTGTTTTAACCAAAAATTTACAAACCAGTATGCATGTACCGGTACACAGTACATGCACAACCTAAAATGTATAAATGACCACTGTTTTATTTTCCTTCTTTCTAAGAACGTACAGAAGAGTTTTTGTTTTTTTTGTTACTTTATTCAAGCAGATTACAAATTCCAGGAGCATGGCAGGATACAAAACTCTCAACTGAAAGTAGTCTCTGAATGGATAATCCTTCCCCCAACCATGAATTGTTTTCATCACCCCCCCCACCGGTAAATGTGTTAACTCAAGCAAAATAAACCACCGATCAAATGCGTAGATTTCCAATTATACAAATTAACTGCGGTGATGCCTGGGCCGGGAGTTTCCTTATTAGATTCTCCAGGACCATTATCGTGTTGGTAACGATCCACTGCACCATTTACCCAGGCCCTGAGAATCAGACAGTTGCCACAATTTAAAGGACACGAACCCCTTGGAGTGAAAAAAAAAAATATGCAAAATGCACAGCTGTTGTGTTTAACCTTAAACATGAATTACCGCACATGTACTAGAAGAATAAATATATAAGCAAAAAATGTACACCTCAATACCTACATGTATTTGAACTAGTCAGAAGCCATAAATGTACCATAATTTGGGCACCCTTTTAGGTCAATACATGTACTCTCTAATCTTACCACTTCACACTTGTTTAGTGTTCTCTGTTTACAGCAACGCCATAACTTCATATGGATAAGTTAACCCGTCCACTCCCCCCCCCAAAAAAGTAAAACAAACTCACAACACTTCCAAAGACAGTATCTTGTCAAAAGTTATGAACAAGATCCTGTGTTGCTTTAACTGTACAGTTGTAAACATGTACAAACCTCCTTTACACCTTTGCTGAAAACAATTTAACAAGTGGGCGTGTATTTCTACACAACATAACATCCCCCTTCAGGGATGACAGCATTGGTAGAAATAAATGTACCGGTATTACAGCATGGAACCGTAATATACCATTACTCATTACCACGGCCAAGAAAGAAAGTTCCAATCTACATGGACTTTTTATACTGCAATGCCATATGAGATGGTCTTGGTGGGAATGAGTCATGAGCATTTACTGCACTGGTACAGTGACTGATTATCAGATATTTTTTATGGCTATGGATAAACTTTATCATCAGTTACAATGTACATGTACTGTACAATAAACTAACCAGTCTGACAATGCATACAGTGCACTTACATTTTACCCCAACCCTCCTGTTTCAATATTCCAATTTACTGGTAGTCAAGCTTACTTTTTTTCTTTTGTCACCAAACAAATCAATCCACAGCAATCAGTATCTTTGAACTTTCCACCCGCAAGAATATTACAGTCCAAACTTCGTCTACACACGTGTAGCTCTGTTCTTACAGGGATATCGGCTTTCAGACAGCAACTGAATGCAAAAGGGGTTTTAAAAATCATACATCTGTTTCCACAGACCAAAGAGCAGAGTTTCCGAGAGTGCCTGTTTCATTCATTCCATGCAGTCTACCGATATATACACATGCATTTGCATTCAGCTTATCGAACAAGTGGCTACTCAGTGCAGAAACACAAAATGACACTGACTTTCCAGTTTTCCCAGTTTGAATATCTTGTGAACTGTGATACCAATGAGCACGTACATGTAGCAACTGGTATTTGGGTGGGGTAGGAAGGCGTACTGAATTCTAAATGCTGTTTGTGTTTTGCTTTCTGCCATGCTTGGGTGAATTTACTTCCCATTGTTGGATTCCAAGAGAACAGTTTCTGCTACATTGTTGACTGGTCTAGGCAACTACAACTGGCTCTGTGGTATTCAAATGTACATGGACTACCAGAAGTACACAAGTGTATGAATCACACATAAACAAAGGGAACTGTGGCTCATGTAGTTTAGTGTTGCAGTGCCGGTGTACATGCTCCACAAATATACATGTACCACTGAGCCAAATCTTCAACTATTTCATTTCAAGATACATGCACCTGTAGGTTAGAATATTACAGGTGAAAATCACAGGTGAAAATCAGGGTGTCTTTGAGTAATGTTGGTGTCTGTAAGAGCAAAACCGTCCTGTAATTTGCCACAACCAGTCCTGTAATTTGCCACAACTCTCACACAATAGACTAAACTTACAGGCAGCTGACGTGTATGCCAAAAATGAATTTACAGCCAAAAAGTACATTTCCTGCAAGTTTTTTGGCGAGTTTTTCATGTTTTTTTAATTAATTATTGTGTGTGTGTGTGTGATCTGGCTGAGACACGTCCTGAAACTCACCGAAGTCAACCAACATGTAAAACATTCATACCCGTTTGTTTCTGCTTTTGTGGGAATTTGGTTCAACAGAATACTTGATCAAATAGAAGGTTGAATATGTGGATAATCAGTTATTTTAGTTGACTCAGCCGTCATTGCATTACATGGAGATGAAAACCTACAGTAATAAAAGGCTGGATGGCAATATGCTTCAAATGTCTCAATATGTATCTACATGTACGTTCATGTGACTACATGCACCTGTTAAACTCACCTGCAAGTACTGTACCGGTACATGTACAGTTAACCCCTACATGTACATAAATGTATTGTACATACTGGTATTGTAGAAAAGTGTACTGTATTACCTAACATACATGTGCATGTTCACCTCATACAATACATGTACATGTACACTGTATGTAGAGACTAGCAGAGCTACATATACATGTATACATGTACCGGTATGGTACATGTGTTCACATTTTACATTGTGTATAATGTACATGTACATGTACTATTACTACATGTACATGTATGTACATGTAGTACCATGTGTATCAGTATGCTCTATGCTTATTCCTCCACCTGCTAAAGGTCACGGATACAAAATCTGAAACTAATTAAAGGCCAGCTGTTAAATTCATTCTGACATCATGACGTTTGTTCCATCAACATTCTCTCCACAAATGGTTTGAAAGATCACCCCGATGTGACACGGTGGTCAATAGTGGTAAAGAGAGAAAGCGGAATTACTCCAGCATCTGACTGGTGCAGCACACTGAACACAGAGAAATTCTGTCCCGGTTGATTTTCATGGAACTGTTTCCTTTGTAGACATTGACAAAACAGATGTTTCACTAACAATAACATTAACATGCAACACCTGCATGCGCTTTGTTGCACATTTCCCATTTCTCTCATGGGTTTGTCTGTAGACAACTTCATAGGAGTTACACATCAGAATAGTTGGGAGAAGCTAAGCTCTCCAAAATTCTATCCCTCCCCCATAGTCATACCCATCTACATACACCCAAAATGCCTACTGTGTTTCCTCATCAACAAACATGTGACAAGTAATTAAAGGGACCATATACATGAACATGTAAATTAAAGGGACCATATACATGTAACAGTCAACTTTGAATGTGCACTTCAAAGTTCATTTGCCTGTATATGAAGCTCCATGGATTTCATACACTGGAAAGTTTCAACACAAATATGACTTTAAGAAATTTTCATTGCATGGACCATTTACATGTAAAACTAAAAGCCTTCCCATT